GGGGTCCCTGCTGTCAATGGGCTGAAGTTCAAGAAGGCTGAGTGCCAGTTCTGCACTTGGGTCACAACAACCCCCGTGCATCCCTACAAGGCAGAGCGATGGGAGGGAGCGATGGGGATGGGTCAGGTGGGACTTGGCGATCGTAGAGACCTTTTCCAACCTTCCTGATTTTATGATGAGGAGCTCCCAGACAGGGATGCACAACGCTGGGGGACGCGAGGCGCTCACCAGCTCCGTGCCCAGTTCCCCAAGCCCATCCCTTGCAGGAGGATGAATGGTGTGACAGATGACAAGCCGCTCTCAGTGCCCCGTGACATCGACCTGCACCTGGACACGTCCCCCATCACCGCTGTGGATGCTCTCGGTACCTCCCAGCGCCCTTCTCCCCCTGCACCCAGCCCCATTTGGTGACCCACAGTGGTGACATCTCCTCACGGCCCGCAGTGCTGCGCTATTTCCTGGAGTACCAATGGTTCGTGGACTTTGCCGTCTACGCCACTGCTGTGTATGTCTTCACCGAGGGCTACAGCTGCGTGGTGGAGCCGCAGAGGGAGATGAACCTCGGGGTGCTCTGGTGCCTGCTCACCGTCTTCTTCTCCATGTATCCTTGTGCCTGCTGCTGCTTTTTTTGCTCCTTTTCCTTTATTTTTTTTTTCTTTTGCAATGAAACGCCATTTGGGGTAGAAGATGAAAATTGATGGACTTACAAAGCTTTGCTGCTGAGCTGTGCCCAGCAAGAGCCTTCCCTTTGGGCCTAACGGCATGGATGGTGTGGGGGTCCCACTGGTGTGGGGGTTGTCCCTGCAGCCCCCCATTTCCTTGACAGCCCCCCCCTGCCTTCAGAAAGGTCTTCTTCATGGTGATGCGCCATTACTTCCGCTCAGAGGAGGGCGGCGAGCGCTCCGTCTGCCTCACCTTCGCCTTCTTCTTCGTCCTCCTGGCCATGGTGGTCCTGGTGGTCCGCGAGGACTATCTGGAGTTCGGCCTGGAGCCCGGTGGGTGCGGGGAGCCGGGGTGAGGTGGGCGGCCGTGGGCATCCACTGATGGCTGTGTGCTGCCCACAGGGCTGGACAGTGTCAGCAGCAACCTGGAGAGCATCCTGAAGCCGCGGGGGTGGGATTGGACGTGAGTTGATTTCAGGATGGGAAATGGCGGTTTATTTTTGGAGATTGCTTTGAAAACGGTGCTTTGTCCCTCTGTGACCCAAAGGACAGAGGGTCCCCCACAGCTCTGTGGGATTGGGGTCAAGCCGTTTCCCCGCCTTCCCTTGTTTTTCTGCAGGCTGCCCCTCGCCAAGCTGGCCTTCAAGCTGGGGCTGGTGGCCCTCTGCTCCTTCCTCGGTGCCTGCCTGACCTTCCCGGGGCTGCGCCTGGCCCAGACGCATCTCGACGCCCTCCGGATGGCAGCCGACAGACCTCTGGCCCAGTTGGGTGACACTGCGGTGTGGGGAGGGGGCATAGGAGCCGGGACACCCCTGGTTCTGCTGTGGTGGCAGAGAGTGAGGGGGGCCGGGAGAGGGAGGAGACGGGGACGCGGCTGTGCCTGATGTCTGCGCCACAGGGTTCTGCTCCATGTGAGTTTCCTGGCTCCGGTACTGGTGGTGGTGATGTGGATCAGGCCCATCTCACGGGACTTCCTGCTGCATGCGCCCATGGGCAAACAGACGGTGCAGATGTGAGTGGAGCACGGGGGGCAACGGCCATCCTCTGAGGGGAAACTGAGGCACGGGCGCACCTCGTCCCCATTCCTTCCCTGGGAGATTCCGGAGCGTGGGACCCCCCCAGCAACCCCGTCCTCTCCCCCCCACGCAGCCTGTCGGACTCAGCCTACAACACGGCGCGGCTCTGGGCCGTGGTGGGGCTGTGTGGGCTGCGCCTGGCGGCCACCCGTCCCCACCTGCAGGCTTACCTGTGCCTGGCTGAGCGCTGGGTGCAGCAGATGCGGAAGGAAGCGGGACGCATCGCCGCCGTGGAAATCCAGCGCAAGGTGCGTGCGGGGGGCCGGGCTGAGGGTTGGCTGTCAGCCACACCGCTGATGGCTGTCTGTGCACAGATCACGAGGATTTACTGCTACGTGCCCGTGGTCAGCCTGCAGTACCTGGGGCCCATCATCCTCACCCTGCACTGCGCGCTGCTGCTCAAGACGTTGGGTGAGTCACCGCCGGGCTCAGCTGCAGGGCTCAGGGCTGGAGACATGGGGACTGCCCCCCCCCCCCCCCCCCCGGCTACCGGCCCCTCTGCCCCACAGGGCACCACTCGTGGGGGCTGTACCCGGAGCCCCCTTCTGTCCCCATGGCGGTGGCCGCGACAGCTTCGCATCCTGGTGGTGAGGATGGAGAGGACGTGCGTGCGGCAGTGGAGCAGATCACGGGCGTGCTGGGCGGCATCCTCACCCCGCTCTTCTTCCGTGGACTCTTTGCCTTCCTCACCTGGTGGGTGGCCGCGTGCCAGGTCGTCACCAGCCTCTTCGGCCTCTACTTCCACCAGCACCTGGCCGTGTCCTGACTGGGGCAGCTGGGAGCCGTGCTCGTGTCCAATGCCTGTGGGGTGTTTGTCTTCGTCACCTCACTCCCACCTCGGTTGGTTTCCCTGCTTCCATGTGCCTTTGGGTCATGGGGATGCTCCTGCAGCCGGCTCTTGGCAGGATGGGTTTTATGCATCGGGGTGCAGCAGTGCATTGCCTCTCCCCTTCTGCCACCCATCACCGCTGTGCCTGTCCCCATTGCTCCGGCCCCATGCAGTGACATTAGAGCCAGGTTCCCACAGTGTGGTTTGCTGCTGCTGGCTCCAAACCGTTGCCCAAAGCTCTGCTGCCAGCAGGGATCCCAGCAGGGACTGTCACAGTGCGGTAGGTTTGGGGCAGCAGCCTCATTTCCTGGAACAGACTTTGGGGTTTGCTCTGCGTAGTTTGCCTCCCCTGGCTGAGTGTGTGTGTCTTTATAGGGTCTCTGCTCCTCCCAGCGAGGTCAGAGCTCTTGGGGTGGTCCCCTCTGCTTGGTGTGAAATCCTTCGGCCCAGCAGCTTTGACTGTTGGCTGTTTTAGAAATAAATAACCCAGAGCTCGTTTGATCATCCCAGTGCTGCTGCTTTGTGTTTTGCTGCCCCGAAGCCCCTCTTGGAAGTGCTCTGGCAGCAAGGGGTCAAGGCTTGTCCTGGGAACACAACCAGGCCAATATGGCTCTGCTCATCCCAGCGGGGTTAGGGGCTATGGGGTACACAGCCCTCCTGCAGCTCCAATGGGCTCCTGGAGTCAGCAGCACGGTGGGTGCTGGTCCAGCTGCATGTAAAAGGATTAGCAGGTCTGGGCTGCTCAGAGAAAGGAGAGGGGCTCTGATCCTATTTGATAGCCTTGTAATGGTCTTAATTCCCTCTTGCTAAGGGCCGAGATGAGAAAGCAGCTCTCTGCCCTGTGTTAACAGGGCTAATCCAGACAGCCTTCCTCCAGCAGTATCCAAACAGCAGAAAAATAAAGGGGAAATTCCCCTCTTGCAAAGGGATGGGAAAACCTGAGGCCGGAACAACACCCTGGATGAGCAGAAGGCAAAGAGAAATTGAGCTCCAGCAGCACTGTCACCAAGGAGCAGGGAAAGGTGCAAGGAGGGAGATTCCCCTAGGGCCGGGATGCAAAGAGGCTTGTCCCATTAAGAGCCAGCCCAACTGCCTTGATGGCTCATTTATCTAATTTTCCTGAAGCATGTGCAGGAAGCAGCCGGAGGCTGAGCTCAGGGAAGGCTGGCAGCAGGAGGAGGGTTGCTAAGGCCTGGGGTTGTGCTGCAGTCAGACATGCAGACAGTTCCTCCCCAGAGATCTGCCCAGACGTGACCCTCTCAGGCAGGGACAATGACTGATAGACTCGCCAAGAGCAGGAGACAGATCCACCAGCAATGAAATTGGGCCACATCAAATAAAATGAGGGAGCCCCCCATCTTTCTCTCCCTAGTATTATTTCCCTCCTTGTATCTTTGCTTTATTTGGGTGACGGTACAGACTGGGCTCTGCTCCACAAAGGGCTCTCAGCATAGAGGAGCAGCTGGGACCGAGCAGCTTTGTGCTGCAGAGGCTCTGCTGGCACCAGGATGCCCTGTTGTGACTGGGGTTGGCCTTGCATCACCCCTATTGCCATGGTGCACACCTACCTCCAGCTGCCAACGAGTTCCTGGAGGTCCTCCTTTGTGCCCCAGGGCAGGGAGGAAAGCAGCAAACCCTGCTCCCATCTCACCTGGGATCCCCTCGCTCCCACCCCAAGTGGGATCCCGTTGCCACCCTGAGCATTGCTGACCCCCAGTTCATTCTCTGCTCAGCAGCACAAACATGGATGGGGAAGCAAACCCCAAACCCCAATTAAGCAGAGGAGGAGATGTCAACCTTCACTTGCAGGATCGAAGCAGCAGCTGCAGGGAAGGTGGATGTGAGGGCTGTTGTTCAGCTCTGCCTCGGGCTTCCTGCAAGAATTGGCGCACATTTCGCAGCCTGTGGTGCCCAGTTTCCCCGGGGATGTAGCAGGGAGTGCAGAGGACTGCTATACAGGGCTGGATCCATCCCCACTGCCCAGCAAGGAGCAGAGACAGCAAAGCACCACCACCCTACAGCCACACGAGGCCTGAAAGGCAGCTGAAAGCACTGAAAACCCCAAGAGCTGAGCAGGACTGAGCAGAGCGGGGGGACCCCAACTTGGGGGAAGCCACCGGGCCATGGCTAAGCCGACAGTGCCACCTGCTGCCACTGCACACCCATCCCCATCCCACTCTGCAGTGCTGGGGATGGGCACCGCTGGGAGGAGAGCCACGATGCTTCGAAGCAGTTGCTGAGCTGCTCTTCCCCATCTTCTGTGGCATTCAGGTAGGAGCTGCGGGCACAGAGCTGTGGCAGAAGCACGAGGAGGACGTGCAGCCCCAGCCCTGACATCACCACATTCAGTCCATCAGTAAATCCACCCAACGTGCCACGCTTCTCTCTTGTGACAATGCGCAAAGTGCAACAGAAAGGGCCCTTCACAGCCTGCAAAGTCAATTAAATTTTTTATTAAATATACATCCTCTCTTGGCACAAATCTTAAAATATATAAACATTATATACCAAAGTGTCTTCACTGCAATAAAATAGAATTCCAGATCCAAGAAAAGCAGTCAGAAATCGACGCACGCACACACACCGATGGTGAGGACACGTCTGGACAAAAGGCAGTTAACAGTGTTTGTGTTAATATATGCATAGACCACACAGGCAGCAAGCAGTGCTGGGACACCCTGCATCCATCACACGGCGTGCAGAGCAGTGGGAAGCACCAGCCCTGCCATAGCAAAGGCTGTCGTGCAGCACAGCTCCAGACCTCCTCCTCTGCACCAGCCCAGGAGAAAAGGGCTGGATAATGCTCATCCTGTGCCTTTCAGTGACTTTATGCCCCTGCTATCCTTGCCTGCAGCATCAGCTCTCCCCACATTGCTTGCACAGAGCACAGCACTGCGTGGAGGTGCCCAAAGAGGAGCTGGTGAGCAGCAGCGCCTTGCAGTGAGCCAAGGAAAGGCGAGAGGCTGGGCAAGGAACACAAGAATCTTCCCCAAACCTTCTGCCCCATTACCTCACGCCTTTCCCTTCCTGCCCTGTGCAGAACTCTCCTTGCCTGTGAGCAGGACTGTCTCGGGGATCCCTACCAAAGCTCCAGTTTTGTCACTTTAGATGCATTTCACTGGACCTGATTTTCACGAAGTGCAAGTGCAGAACTAAAGGTGCAGAAGCAGGAAGAAAAGACGAGGAAAAAAAATAATAAAAGCACAGGTGAACGTTTGGCAGTAATGCATTCGAGAGAAGTAAGATTCATGGCTTGAAAATTAAAGCAAGGAATTGAACGTGGGGTAGTAAATTAGTTTTAAAGAAAAGAAGAACCGGAGGATATTCCTGTTAGGCTTTTCTCTCTCAGAGCTGAAGGAATGGATCTTGGCTGGCACCTCCCCTTCCCAATGTGTGCCCAGAGCTCCTCAGGCATTCATTCCGGGCAGCACAGAGACCTGGAACGTATCGCAATTCAAGCAAAGATTAAGAGAAGGGAAGAGAACACTCCGTTTCTCCTCTCGTACATTCAAACCAAGGAAAAAGAAAGAGCTATTCAAAACAGCCCAAAGCAGTGACACAGTTATTCTCTCGCCCAAGAAATAAAAGCACCAAAACAATTACAGACTGAACTCAGATCTCTCTCTGAATAAGCTCTCAGCCTGCAGAACTTGGAGAAATGTGTTTGGCTGACAGCTCACTGAATTAAAATCAGGTGTAGCTGCTAATGAAGGAACAACTTCCCTCAGCTCAGCACTTCCAAGCCAGGCTGTGCTTCAGGTCTCCATCCTCAGCTCAGCCCTCAGGCTCCAGCCAGGCTGCGAGGTGCCACAAACCCCCCCCTCCATAGGATTTCCATTCACCAACACTCCAGCTGCACACCCAGCACAGCAGGAGGTGCCCTGCCTCATAAGACAAGAACTGCAGCGTCTGCCCCAACCACCTACCACAGTGCAGAGCACAGGAGCCTGTCTGAGCTCGGAAGGCACAGCTCAGCATCCTCTGCTGTCACTACAGAAGTCATCTGTGCAAAGGACTGCGCTCTGAACCAGCAGCCTCCAAGCTGAGCAGAACTCAGTGCGGGTTGTATACATGGCGGGATATGCAAGCACACACCTACAACAGCCACTGCTTACACTCTTCATTGCTGGTCTGTGCCTCATTCCTGCTGAGATGCCCCAGCACTTCCTCACCAGGCCAAGCGAGACCGAAGCAAGAGCAGAACTAATTGGCTTCTCCATTGGAGAAAAGAAATCAGAGCTCTTGCAAAGGACTGAACGTTTCACCCAGTGAAGAAAACGGCCGATCGTCTTCCATTAGCAAGGGAGTAAAAAGACAGAGAACTCATGGCTATCATCTCTAACGACTCTTACGGCGACACCTAACATTTAGTTACAAGGTGAGATGGTGACTGCAGTCAAGTTTCACAACGGAAATCATCGCTGGTGGGCTCAGAGGCAGAAATCACTGAGGTTCACAGCCTGCCCATCCACAAGCATTACAGTCGGATCGATCCCCGTCTTCTGGCATCAACACACACACTAAACTGCAGGAGGCTGCCCGCCACGTCCACCAAGTGGAAGCACAAGTGCTCAGTTCCTAGGGAAATATTTGGCATTAGAAGCGAGTTATGCTCCGAAGAACAAGTGCAAAGACAAAAGAAAGGAAAAAGCTATTTCTACCAGTTGTGCAATTACCTCCATTCCCATTAATAAAGCTGTGACATGAGGGTCAAACTACAGTGACTAAAATATATACACCAGAGAAGGACAGCCTTTAGATTATGCCTTATTTTTTCTTTTATATGTTATCTCCCCTCTACATGGGCAGTATCAGCTGGGAAGGGATTTTTCATCTTGGCTTGTGGAATGGGATTCCCAGAGAACTCTAAAGCTCGCTGTGACCTCTTGCACTCCAAATTTAATACAGGAACAGAACATAAGACAAAGCCACCCTCAGATCTCCATTTCTCCGAAGCCTGACTTGAAATAGAAACAATGAAAGGTACTCTATCATTCATTTTCAAATTGCAACTGGAAATGATTGGCACTAGACATAAGTCCTGAGGAGCCCGTTCTCCTGAGGACGCGGTCCAGAGGAACTCAAGGACTGAAAGCAAGTGGGGTTAGGTGTGCATTAAGAACACAGCAGGCACCAAAGGACAGCAGCTGTTGGGAAGCAGGGCCACCAGACAAAACCAGCCTTTGGGAGCAGCTCAGCCTGCATCACGTGTGCATCTCTGAGACGTTTGTTCCTGCAACGTGCATAAAGCAGCAACAGTAATACTGAAGGACATAACTGCTGAAAATTTAAGTATGTAACAGTTTCTCTTCTTGCCTAGGGCACTACAGCCAAATCCCTTGGAGAACAGCTGCCTTTAAGACCGTGACGACAACGGAAGGGTTCTGACGGCCTGAAAGCACTGCTGCAGTTTGATCCAATCCAGTCTGTGATCCCAGGCACAGCCCCCATCAATGACACTGACAGCAAACATGAGAATTTGATTTACAGAACTGCTCAGAACTTTCCTCCCCTGCTGCCTACAGTCTTTGGTAATCTCAGGGGAACGCTGCACGCAAGGGAGATTTCATGCAACTCAACCCAGAAAGGAAAAACAACATCTCCAAACGGGCAGCTCTTCCAGCCAGAGCTCACACACAGCTTCCAGAAGAAAAGAAGTGACCCGGACCTGTGAAATCCTGCTGCGTCCTGTTTTACAGAACTCACAGGTCAGAGGAACGTGGAATTCCTGACAGATTAACTGGAATATTGCACTTGGCAGACTGCCTCCAGCAGTGCACAGTAAGAACCGCCTCCCAGGACCGTGCTGACTTCCCACATTCAGGAGTTCATTCCAACAGCACCGAGTCCCCTCTCTCTCTCTCATCCCCGCTCCTTCTGCCCAGAGAGCAGACGTGGAGCTCAGCAGCACTGTTGTTTGTTTGAGAGGCTCCACTCCCAGCATCAAAGGACAAAGCAGGAGGATGAGGCAGCTCCTGGAGAGGACACCGTTCTGCGGAGCGGCGGAAAGGATTTCGTTTAGGGGAGGGTTAGTTGCAGGTTGAGGTTTCAAAACAATGCGGAGGCTCATTAAAAGAAGAAAACCAAACAACAGCACAAAAGGAACAAACAAACAAACAAGAAAGGTAAGCTCTCAGCTGCGGGAGAGCACGTGCAGAGCGAGGGAACGCTAGCATTGCTCTTTCTACACGTGTCGTACGTTTCTCCAGCGAGGGCTGTGGGGATTAAGCTACTACCTTTCAACATTAGTGCTGTGCTGTAATTTACGGAGAAGGATCTGCGTCAGGTCAAAGGTTGTGAAGCTTATTCCCACTGCAATCGGACCTTTGACCCAATTCATGCTGAGTCCTTTGTACAAACCACGGATTAGTCCCTCTTCTCTTATAATCTCCTGCATGGTGAGAAGGATGGAGCTGTACGTGTGTCCCATCACCCCCGCCGTCTGCATTCGCCTGCGAACCACATCCAGGGGGTAAGATGCCGACTGGCCGATCAAACCTGCACAGGCACCGAACAAAAGCCGCTCCGGAGGGGATGGCTGCGATTTCCCACTGTGATCTGGGAAAGAGAAAGTAGCAGAGTGTGGAAAGCTGCTTGGCACAACCGTGTGACTGAGGTCAAGTGGGCCAAGAGCCAAAGAGAGGACTGAGGGCCAGGGCTCCCGGGATCTTGTTCCCAATTTGGACGTTAGCTGACTTGGGAAGTAACCGCGTCCCCTCTGCACTCGGGGTTTGCAGGAAGGCAAAAGATGGAAATGAATGCTGCTCTCCTGCAGCTCGCCCTCTTCAAAGTCTGGGGTTGGGGAAAGGGAGGCACAGGGCACCTTCCACGAGCACAGAACTTCACAATTGGCTTCAAGGCCAGGAAGAGGACTTGCACCATGGAATTCAAACACCTGAAATTGGCCCAAAACCTTCACCATTCCATTTTAAAGCCAAAAAAAACAAAGGATTCATTACCTGCATGCAGTTTCTTCAGTGTCTCATAGGTGAAAAAGCTAAGCCCAGCATACGGAATCACTCCAAGGATGGTTGGTGTAAATCCCCTATACAGTGTTTTCAATCCTTCCTCTCGGGATATTCGGATGAAGACATGAACAATATTGCTGTACCTAGCATGCAGACACAGGAAAACCAAATCTGCGCTAGTTAGTGCCTGCACATCCGGGTAATGTTTCCAATAGAGCTTTCTGAAGGATCAACAATTAATTAATTTGGTTCTGAGCTCATCAGACAGCTCAGAAAAGATTTCAGAAACCTATCTGCAAGTGGAGAAGCCAGTCCCCAGCTCTCCTCCAGCCCCACTGCAATATGCTGTCCTGTCTGTTCGGTCTCCCCAAGGCACTTTGCCTGACAAGCAAGCAGGTTTTTCTGGGGAGGTTTTTGTGCATCCATCTCCTTCCAGTCCCAGGACTAAGCAGGGCTCTGGGCATTTCATCAGTGCTCAGACCCACGCAGTAACAACGTTTATTACACCAAAGGCTCCGAGCAAGAAGTGACCCAGAAAATGAGAATAAAACCATCTGACCTTAAAAGAAAGCTCTGTGTTTGTTCGTGGTGGTGGTACTTGCTTTCATTAGGCACTTACATCTCCTTCGGCGTGACAGCCATTCGAGCACGGACCATATCCAAGGGGTAGGTTAACATGGCAGCCGTTGTGCCTGCCAGAGAGCCAGCAATGAATCGAGGAAAGGGTGTCAGCGCTCTAAAGTAAGGTGAGAGAAGAAACCAAACAGATCACCTGGAGATGGCAATGCGGGGTGGCTTTTCAGCAGGACTCTACCAGCTACTGAATCCCTTCCCTGTCTGCGTACTTCAGAGAGCTGGCTGGGTACGGGTTGGAGCAGCTGTGGTTTGCCACAGCAATTCCAAACTGAGGTCTCAGAGGACACTGAGGACAGCAACGCCTGACCTGGGCTGTCTCAGACACTGCGTGCCCAAGAGCAAGAGGCTCGGGCTGCACGCATGTAGGAAGGGCTCAGCTAGCAGCAGAAGGCTGGGCCTTGTTGCTTCTCCTGCAAAGAAACGCTCTTTGCTTTGTCTGCCCACTCTCAGCATAGGGAAGCATTAACTCAACATCTAGGCCACTTCTTGCTCACGCCTCTAGAAAACAGAGTCCACCTCTGTGCAGGACTACAGACCCAGCCCACTGCTCAGCCCCCTCTCAGCACACTGCTCTGCAAAGCCATTGCAAGAGGGGCTGGCACAACCCTGCACCGAGAGCTTTCAGCCCAGCAGGCCTGCAGAAAGCAGAGAATCGTGCTCCCTCCCTGCAACCCACAAAACACCCCATCCTCCTCCGCAAGGATCAAAGCCACGCTGCATCTTACTTTCCCTGGAAGCCGTAGTAGCTCCCCAGGAGCTGCTTGTACTCCTCGTGTGCACAGAACTGAATGGCAGCATAAGGGATCACGCGCACCATGGTGGCCGAGTTCCCCCGCCAGAGGCTCCAGAAGCCCTCGTTGAGGTAGGTGTGATAAATCAGCCTGTAGGCTTCCTGCAGGCAACAGAGCAAAGGTCAGACGGGACATCATGATAAGAGGAGTCCAAACAATAGAAGGGGAAAAGGTGGCCCTATAGCTTAACCCCTCCAAAGCCTCCCTGCCCCCTACCCCAGTGAGCCGATGTCAGCTGTTACAGCCTGGCTCCAAAATGAGACAACTGAAACCTCTTCTCTAGGGAGACTGATTCACATACGTTAGAGCAAAAACAGCAGGAGCTGGGAAAACAGAGCTTTACATCTTTGTTTGCTCTCTGAGGGGAAGGCACAGAGCTGGACTGATGTTTTTTACAACCCAAATTAATCTTCTTAGTATAAGACAGAAGCATTTGGATTATACATATTAGCACAGCACGCACGGAATAGCTGTAATGCACATGCAGGAGAACATCCAGCATGCCACGAGAGGGATCAGCATCCACATTCACATTTCCTATGCATCCTGAAACAGCTCCGGGGGGAAAGAAGCAACCACAGGAAGAAAAGGGAAAAGCTCAGTCACATCTCCTGCCACATCACAGGTAGGACCTACAGAATGAGGATTGGGTCCCCTCCATGCCTGGCAAGGGGCAAAAACATCAGCAAGGTGCTATCAATACTATTTCCAATCCTTCCCTCTGTGCTCTTTCACTACGAGTGCTGCTCACGAAACCCAGGTAAGCCACAAACAAACAAAAGGTGACATTACTACCATTACTCAAACATTTTGGAGAACAGGAGACAGGCACATCACCTCACCTTGGCAGAAAATCTTTTTGAAGACACTAGAAAGAAAAAGCGAGCGTTAGGTCTCAGTACACTTAGATGGATCAGAGAAACCACAGCTGCATTTTAGCTGAGAAACACGAGTAAAAGCAGAAGAATTAATGCAAGAAACAAAAAAATGGTGATTCTCTGTAAGCAACAAAGGCTGCCCCAAGGTGAGCGCTCACCAGCAGCAGAGCAGGAGTTCATTTCTCCAAATGCTGTTGCAAAATCGCTCCATTTGTCACTTCTTAATTTAAAGGGCTAAAAAAAGCAAATCACAACAGCAATTAAAGAGGGGCAGGAGCCAAGCATGGATTTGAGCAGCACATTTGCACACACAGGTTGCAGCCTAATGCCAAACTGCCGCCCGGCGCAGCGCTGTTAGCGGAGCTCCACGCTACGATGGTTTCATCCTCACAAAACTCACACAAACACTCTGCTTCTTTTCTTGCATCCATTCAAATTGACAGCATCTCTTTAAGTATGTAACACGGGAGGCCTGGGGAAGCCAGCTTTATTTGGCAGGCAGCAGCCCTGCTTTGTAACATCCCTGCAGCAGGAAGGAAACCCAGGCGAAAACCCGGACAGCAACGCTAATGAAACGTGGTTCCAATTAAGTCTCTGTTGCAGTTTCTCTCAAACTCCTTTGAGACTTGTAACCTCTCAAGTGTGTCAAACAATCACATGCAAATACATTTTCACTGCGTTGCTCCTTTATGTAATTCAAAGCTTCTTTTTTTTTTGCCTCTTTTTTTTTAATAACTAAAACCGCTCCAATAACCGCTCCAAGCTGACTCTGCAATGGAAAAGAAACCTCTTCCCCACGCCCATGGGAATTCAGTCCTCGGATCAAAGGACAGCCTCCCACATTTACATGACCCCCAGATGCTTTGCCTGCTCACAGGAAGGGAACGGGGCCGTGGTGGAAGCCTCCAGCACAGCAAGAGAGCGGGACACCCATTGGATAAGAAATTGGGCAGAACGGGCAGCTTTTAGTTATATCCTCTGCAGCACGTTTAATGGGCCAAACCAAACAGGCCCCGCACAACACGCAGGGCTGGATGTGTTAATTGTGATTTATACGGACAGCTGATGACTCATCCCAGTTCGGCAGCTCCCATCTCACCTCTGATCCTGACATCCCAACCTCAGATGAACCGCAGTGCTCATTCTGCTGGGAAAGCACAGCACGTCCCCAGTGCTCACAGACGCAGCCCAGGCTGAGCTCCCTGCAGCCTCACCTCCCTCATCTATATCCCTGCCACGCCAAGATTGGAACTCACGTCAAATGAAAGTCAATTTGAAATTAAATCTCGTCCAGGGATTACAGTAAACCTGCCCAATTCATTTAATCTGGGATGTCAACTGGATTTAAAACTCTCGGCCTCACCAAATGTTTATTCTACCAACTGGCTGTGCCCTTCCCATCGGGGCAATGAACACAGCTGGAGGCTCTCATGCTTAAATGGGGGAACTGGGAGGAGCCCATGGTGGGGCTGGACCCCAAACCCCACTCCATGTACAAGCTGCTTCTATTCCAATTAGCTGCGTGTCATCATCGGTTACACACTAAGTTGAAGAGTTCCAAAAAGCATTTTGCAATACAAAGCTAGGTATGCCAGCTTCACTGCTTCCTGTAGACACTTTTCATAATCAGTCTCGACTCCAGCCACATCTGGCTGCAATAAAACACAACTTATTAGAAAATGCTGCACATGTGAGCAGGCACTGCCTGGCCTCCAGCAAGCAGCTCCATCACCTCCTCCCGTTTCTGCTACCTAACCTCACTCCCTTTCCCTTCACTTTGTTTCTCCAAATTGAAGCACAGAAATCTGAAGTGCTATCACTCATCCCCTCGAATGCAGCTCTTCCACTGCCCAGCTGCTCTGCACCGTCCCTTATAGCATGGAACTCACAAGCTGCAGCCAACTGTCCCCAGCCAGCAGCGCATGCAGCACACTGCACTGAAATAGCAAAGCTCTTGCTGACTACCACGAGACCTGGACCCAGACCGTCCAGATGAACAGCTGACTGACATCTGCAATAATCCCACCAAAAACCAAACAATAGGTTTTCAGACTCGATGCGCTGTGGCTTTGTGGCACTGTCACTGCTCTGTCACATCCTACCCACTCCTTTCAGGTTGGGGGACATTCTGGCTGGATACGTTTGGAGCTGGTTTGGTTTCTGGTAGCAATAATGTCAGAGTAGATTGCAAAAGCCAGCAGGACTTACCCTGAAACATGATTTTTGTCCTATCCAGTGGAGCTACTGCAGTTTTGGCAACAGCACCAGCCAGTGCACCGGACATCAGGGAGTTAAGCACTTTCTTCTGCTCCTGAATACCCTGGAACAAAGCACTGCTCAGTGTGACAGTTAATCCTGAAGAGGAGTTGTAATATTTTACCTTTGCTACAGCATTTCCTCCCACCCAGGGACGTGGATGAACCAAACTCAGGTGTGAGCATCCCCTTTATCCTGCAATCTGTCCCATTAGCAAACATAAGCTCCACAATACAGCAACCCAATCACACACTCACATTTCAGTGCAGAATCTCAATGCTGCATCACTCTAAATTGTTTTGTCAGGTTGTTTGCAAGGACTTCTCTGTCCCTTTCAGCCCCATGTAGAAACGTTCCCTACCTGCTAACGTAATAAGAATGCTTTTGATTCTCTTGAGACAGCTAAAAATCAGTGTGAGTGTTTTGGAAATGTGAACATTCCCTTCGAAACAGGGAATAAAATGTAAATTCCAAGCGCAATAAATTCCTGGCCAAATCACCACGAGCAAAGATTAGACGTGTCTGCAAAACACAAAGTTCCAAGGTTCTCTCTCACGTGTGCTGCATTTCCCCTACTGAGATTTCTACAGGCCATGTCACTGCTTATGACTGAACCAGGCACAAAGGTGCATTGCTCTCTTGCCCTTGCACCAACACACAAACCCACTTTGTCCCCAGGATCCCAGGAATAAAGCACGGCAGGCTTCCTGCTATGATAAATGGAATGGAAGAGTTTCTGTTATTGACATTCCTGCCACAGCTCATATTTATAAAGCAGCTATCTTCTTGTAACACATGGGCAGAAAGCGAGTAAATGACTTGAAATCTAACACCGTGAAGGTTATGGGCTGAGAGACAAGTCAAGTCGAGGCTTAAGAATGTTAACTTCTGATATGCTTTGTGTTTTCGTGGAGGAGTTAACGCCTTTCCCCTCCCAACCAGCACGTTTCCCAGCTAAAACATTAATTTCTTATTACAAAAACACACAGAGGGGAAAATGGAAGGGAATCAATCCCTGCTGATCCGGTGCCACGCGCACAGGCAGCACTGTGAGAACTTCAGACCGAGTTTTGGCTCTGTTCCTCCAGCAAAGTCATTCCACGCAAGCAGAAACCCTGAGCTAAACCAGAGCAAGGTTCAGCAGCACCTTCCCCTCTGGTTTTCCTAACGGGAGTCCGTGACAGCAGCAAGAGCACTGAGAGCACTGAGAGCAGCCCTCCTGGCTCTGCTCCCAGCTCTGCCAGCTCCGATGTAATAAGACATAACCCTGAACGAGGAGCACAGCCCTGCCTGCCCGTCAGCCCAAGGGCTGGAGCTGCTCAGCCATCCTCAAAGTGCAGTTACACATTACATGGCTTGGATGTCCCAAATCCCACGGAGATGCCCCTCCTGCAATCATTCAGCTCTTGGTTCACCCCACGGCACACTGCCCCCAAGCTCTGGCTCGTACCTCTGCTGGAAGATGAGCTGATGCAGTTGGCTCCACATCCTGCCCTTTGAAATCCACTTGACCTTCTCTCACACCATTACCCATACCAGTTGCACTTCCAAGTGGGCAGAAGGGCTCCGGCTCCTGAATGGAAAACAAGAACAAAATAAGCGTTAGCATCAGTGGTAGCAAATACTCAAGTCATAAAATAGCTGGAAGGGAAGGGAAGGGCCAGCTCCAACCCCAAGCTTCCAGGAGTCCATCCTTGGAGATGCAAGTGTGTGTACAACAGGGATGGGGCAGGGGGAATGCTCTGGTGCTACCTAGAACTGTGTTGTTGACCATATTCATTCTTTTCTCTCCCAAGGAACTCAGATGCAAGGTCCAAAACCAAATGCATGGTTTCTAAGGGTGAAGCAATCGACCCCGTTCTGTTCTCTTCCATTGCTTACAGCGAACATTCAGGTTGCCACTCATTTCAATTGCTCTGCATCACTCAGATACTAGAAAAGACGTACAGAAATTTAAAACCCAGTTCTGGAAAATGGAAATAAATATCCCTAGCAGTACATCCCCAAAGGCACTGGGGGTTATTCTAAGGGACAGACAGCTCCAGTGCCCCACACGTGCCCTCAGTGCCACACGGATGACATTACAGCAGCACACTGAGCACAGCACATTGCTGGCTGCAGGGCTCCCTTCCTGCACAGCTGCAGTGAAAGATGGCCCTCCGAGCTCAGCACTGCTTCACAGATGGGGTGTAGCTACAAAGATCTGCTCTCTGAGCAACAAGATTGCTCCAACAGCCATTTTTCCATAGTATGAGCTTCCATTCGAGGAATGTGAGCTTGGGAAACCTGGATTCCCCAGCTGCTCCTCGGCATCCTGCAGCAAGTTGCTTCATCTCTGCCCCATCCCATACCTGGGAAACCCGAGGCACAGCTTACTGCAAAATGCCACCTTTTATTTCTCCTCCTTTTTAACAATCTCTAGCCATTAAATGCTTGTCAGCACCTTTCAGACTTGCTGATCTGTTGTTTTTTTTTTCTTCCCCTTGCATTGCTCTCATAAATTAGTGCCAGACTTCACTCTCAAAACCCCCTTGGCTGCAGCAGAGATGTTAACACAGAGCCAGAGAAGGCTCAGCCTTGGCTGTAGTGGTGCATGACCAATTTGTGGCGGTGGAGCTGCATGCAGCCCACACTCACGCTGTCCTTCACACTGACACCATTTGCAGGAGCTCCGTGCAGACACCGCGTGCTCACAGCTCCTGGGGGTGTCTTCCAAAAGAGGAGCTCAAATAACTGCTCAAATAACTCCACTCTGCAATGCAAGAAAGCCCAAAGCACGACCCCAGCAGCAGCAACGTTGGCACTTGGGAAGTTCTGTTGTGGAGGTCTGGTCCCATCAGACCATGTGCACAGACATCCCCATATGGTGGAGGTGGTTCCTCATGGAGTTGTTCTGACGACTGCAGCCTGCTGATTGTTTCTAATTACTACCTGCCATTAGCTCCTTCTCGTCTGACGGAGCTGGAACTGCAAAGCAGCGCCCTTCAGCAGAGCAGGGAGAGCTCCTGGGCTGATATCCCCAGGAGAAATGTAGGTCACAATATCAGATTGATCTCTACCAAAAATAAACCCACCGAAATAGAACTCGTGCTGAAGAGCTTCGGAATGCGACGTGCAACTGCTTTAAAACAGGACTCTGAAGGATGATTGAGAAAGATGACTGAAAGGAAACCTCTAATCCTAAACTGCTATTATTAAGCTTAGATCTATTTTGGAAGATGCACACATGTGAAAGCGATCTCTGTTTGCTCAACAATCTTGTCTTTGATGCTATTCAGAGCTGTTTTCCCCTCTACTTTCAGTGCCTCGTGCCCTGATCCTACAGCACCTGTCCACATATATGCAAGCCCTACACTTGTGGAGCCTTAAAGGCAAAAGCAGCATCTATTCCTTGCAGTCCCATTTGCTCCCGGCAAAGCAACGCAGCAGTGCCTTGTTTTGGAGGTGGGTTGGATTCTGACTTCTGGGAGTTACCAAGTTCTGTGTTGTTACAAGTGATGACACACAGCACAGACAGAAAATAAAGCTTCGCTTTTCAGTTTCAGCCCAAGTTTGTAGGGCTCAGCCATTAGGAAGCAGCCATTATCTGGCATACATACACACACACGTACACAGATGAGCATCAGTCTCTTTATTAAGCAATCCACAGAAACTCAACACGGAGCAGCTGGACATGCTTTCAGCCCTCACTCTCCATCCAGCCCTCACACATTTATCGCTCACGTTTCCAAAGCCACGGGGAACAAGAAGAAAAAAAGCAAGGCTGCAGCTGAGATTTGCTTTTTGTAACACATTGCTGCGTTATTTCTGCGGCTGTTACACAAACCCTCACTGCAGATCCACTGAGGACCCCTCAGCAGAGCCGCCCCGTCCCCTCGCAGGGTGGATCATCAGAAAGGAGAACTGCTGAACAGGAGTTCAAAAGTTAAAGAGGTTTAATGAGTAACACCCGCAGCGCTGTTACAGCAGAGCCCACGGCCAGCACCCAGCACAGCAATCAGAGCACGGCGAAGATTCTTCATCGCCAAAGAAAAGGCTCAGAGATTGGTATCCATTCCCATATTTCACAATTAAGCCTTATTTAGAAGTTTGGTTTGACATCAGTCCAGCCCATAGGAAGGCTGGGGCTGGCACTAATGGCACAGCTGGCACAGGAGGGAATCCTGCTGCCCACCCCACCGACAGCCCAGTGCTGCCATTCTGCCACACCTGAACAGCCCTGTTTACAGCAAAGCACCTTCACCACCTTCAGCCCCAGACATTGCAGCTTCACATCGCAACGCAGCCAGAAAGCAGCAAAGCCTGGCACCCGGCCCAGAGACACATCAGCACCAAAATCCACATTTGTCTGATGCTCCTGATAGAATCCCAACCTGTCAGAAAGCACAACTGCTCCCACATGCCATCCAGCCAGCAGGAATACAGCAAAGCAAGCAGCCACCACCAGCAGCACCCATTGCCAACAGAGCTGCTCTCTGGGATGCGCCCACTGCTCCCCCACTGCCCTGCTATGGGACGCCCAGCTCCCCATAAATCAAAGCCCCACTGGGTTCCATGCAGGTGAAGTCACCCGCACACGACTCCATTCGGACCCATCAGCTTCCTTCATTAATTAGCAGCTACCCACTTCCGGATTTTTCTTTTTCCTTTTTCTTTTTTCCTTTATTGCACCATTTACGTCTCCGCATCACCAATAAAAGCATAGAGTTCAAGTAGGGAAAAAAAGAAAGCTCAGAGAGCTCCGGCAAAAACCCTCACCCGCTTTCCTAGGCAGGCTGGAGTGAAGCAGTGCCCCGGGAAGCTGCTGCATTAGGTTCCCTTCAGTTGTTAAACTGAGCAATTGAGGCTGACAGAGGCAGAGCTGCACCGCAATCACCGCCGCCTTAAATTCGCCCTTGGAGCAAAAGCATCTCAGAAAAATCACAGGAGGAGGGGGATGAACTCCGCTGGGCGATCCCCCGAGGTCCCTCATTGCCTTCCAGTTTGATTAAGCCATTAAAAATCAAACCCAGCGATGCCCTGCAGGCTCAGCTCCCGTCAGTCACATTCATCTTCCGGGTGCTTTCAGATCCGATCCCAAAACACGAGCTAGGAGCAGCCCGTTGTGTTTTCCCTTTAAAAGTCTGTACAGAAGCTGTCAGCACAATTTGGAAGACCCGCTGACAACCTAATTAGAAGACTCACTAAATGATGGTACCTGGAATCATTTAGTTTTTTTGGGGGGGCTTCTTTGCAAAGAACAAAATAAATGCCTCTCCTGCTTCCATCCCCCAGCCACAACTCAGATAAATGGATGGAGGAGAAGGATCCAAACTCTTTGTTGGTTTTCAGTTACCTGCCTGCTGCAGGGAACACCTCAGCTGTGCCTTCCACAGCCAAGAGCTGAAGAGCTGTTTGTATCTGCAAGACAACTTTGTCTGAAGGGGAACAAAGCACCTGAAGGGGATGGAATGGCAGAGAGCTGCTGAGTCCGAGTTTGTCACAGACCTCCTCCTTCAGAGGCAGAAAGCAGAAAACAGCAAAACAGGCACAGACAGCCCTGAGGGACGACCCCAGCACGGCCAAAGCCTTCCAGTTCAAGCACAGATCGGTGGAAACATGAACAACCCCTGGTCAAACAGGAGCGATCTTTGCCCAGAACCATTTCAACAAAACAACCAATCATTATCATCTCCTTGCTAAAATCCCACTGCGAAAAAAAGAACAAACTCAAAGTCTAAGAAGTAGCCACAGGTGGGTACCATTTCCCACAGTGCTGCTGCAGGCCCTGCTTGCACACAGTGTGAGCACCTGAGAGCTCAGTGCAGTCCTGCAGCCCAGCAGCACCAACCCACCCACAGCACAGACACAGCGAGGAGGAGCAAATCTGATGCCTCTCTGGAGAGTAAAGATCACCACCACTCACCTACGTTGTCAGCTGGAGCAAGCTGCTCACGTTGCAGTTCAGCTTTCCATACAAGAAGTCATCTTCTTTCATAAGACAGCAGGAATATCTCTGTGTCACTCCTGGTGAAAGAACACTGCAGTGGCAACCAGTGGCATCGGTATAAACCTCAATGCAGCTTCATACGGTTGGGAGCAAAGTCACCAGCAGAAAGTTATTTCTGGTTCCTGAGCTTCTTCCTAAGAGGAAACCTGTCTGACCTGTATCGAACCCATCTGCTCCACCAAGTGAGCACACTCACAGCTGCACTGCTGCTCATCTTACATTCCAGGTGACCTCTGCACAAAACACACCCTGGCACACGTTCTGCTGGGACTGCCTGACTCAATGCACAAACTGCAGCTGCAGGTCAACAAAAAGCAACGGCTGCAGCTCCTGGCTCATCCCACGGCGCTGTCAAGGGCTGAAAGTCCTCTGCCAGAAACTGAAGCAGCCACTGGGGCCGGAAAGCTCCTGAAATGCAACAGCCTGGACAGACCCCAGCCCCATACACAGCTGCTCTCTTTGAGACAACATTCACAGCTTCCTACGCAATAACCAGGGAAACAAAACCAACTGCTGAGAGCCCATGGCTCTGCTGGAGTGGGAAGATGCTCAGAATGCAGCCCTGGGGTTTGGGACACTCAAATATCCCATTATTTCACCCAGAGGAGGTTGGTGTCCCTGCATCAGCCTGCTGGTACCCCTGCCTGCTCCCACCAGCACCTCTCTGCTCCTGAACACACACAGCCTTTTCCAAACTGGAGCCACTTGGAAACCAGAACGCTTTCAGAACACTCCGAGTGCATCACAGCACATAAAAAAAAGCATGGTAAAAAAGCACAATGTCCACAAACCATTCTCCAATCAATGACCGGAGCCAAGTGACAGCACGCTCCAAACCCTGTGTGTGCAATTAGCTCAATGAGCCGCCAGCAGGAAGGTGGCAGTCAGCAAACAGCCATCCCGGACCCCTCCGAACGCCCGGCCAGGGGCACCGAGAGGGCAGCAGAGAGAACAGAACGGCACTCAGCAACTCTGCACGAGCACTTGCAGAGCTCACCGTGCGTCTTAAACACAACATGAGACACTTCTTCCATTTGGACGTTGGAAGGTAAAGAGGAAAAGCCAGCCCTGCACTGTAAGTT